AGAAGGCCATTGGCATCCTGGCCTGTATCAGAAATAAGTGTGGCCAGTAGGACCAGGGAAGTGATTGTGCCCCTGTACTCAGCCCTGGTGAGGCCGCACCTTGAGTGCTGTGTTCAGTTTTGGGCCCCTCACTACAAGAAGGACATTGAGGGTGCTGGAGTGTGTCCAGAGAAGAGCAATGAAGCTGGTGAAGGGTCTGGAGAACAATTCTTACAAAGAGCAGCTGAGGCAACTGGGGTTGTTTAGTCTGGAGGAAAGGAGGCTGAGGGGAGACCTTGTTGCTCTCTACAACTACCTGAAAGGAGGATGTAGGGAGGTGGGCATCAGCCTCTTCTCCCAAGTAACAAGCAATATAACAAGAAGAAATGACCTCAAGTTGTGCCAGGGGAGGTTTAGGTTGGATATTAGGAAAAATTTATTCACTGAAAGGGTTGTCAAGCATTGGAACAGGCTGCCCAGGGAAGTGGTGGAGTCACCATCCCTGGAGGTATCTAGAAGACATGTAGATGTGGTGTTTAGGGACATGGTTTAGTGGTAGACTTGGCAGTGCTAGGTTTACGATTCGACTTGATGATCTTAAGGATCTTCCAATCTAAACGATTATACGATTCTTCACCTCCCATGTTCTAGTTCTGTACAGTGCACAGTAAAGAGCTATAAACAGTGCAAAGATTTCAATAAGCAGCTATTAAGGCCAGAAGGATTGCCCCAACCAACTTCTACCCCTGGGGGAGGGGGGGGAAAAAAATTACCCACCTAGCATTTCATGGGACCATGACTATATCATTTTGGAACATGCAATGGTCCGTAAGTTCAAATATTTACAGTATTTCACAGTTTCATATCAGTGTTTATTTCAAACTAACACTATGGTATTTCAACACATACAAACACTCATTTATTAGTATTTACCACATTGCAATTTAATCTACATAGTGACTGCTATGCCACTTAAAACCAGATTGAATGTGGTTTTTTTCATTCACATCTCCCTTGTGACATAAGATAGAAGTCAGTTTACAAATTACGTCTCTACTTTAGCCATAAACCCTAGTCAAGAAAAGCAGAAAGAAAAGCTAGAAAGGATATCTGGGGAAAAAAGTAAAAGAAATTGAAGGACAAATACACTAGAAGAAAATAAGAAAAATGTTTGAACAATGATGACATCTCCTGTTAGTTCATGACTTCATTGACATGACTGTTGATCTTGATCAGTGACATCCTTGTTATTCCCCATTTTATTTGCTTTTGCCATGATTGTGCACATCTGTCATTCAGCTGCTTTTACCAGATAAGTAGTTGCAGCCAAGTTTCAAAGTAAAGTTTCTCCCTCAGTGTCCCACAACCTTAGAACCAATATCTTACTCTGCGATGTAATTTGGAAAAATATCCTGAATAGTGACATCATTAAAATATGGATCTTCTGGTCCCCAATTAAAATTCTGCTTCCCTGTTAATGCTTACTATAATCTTCTCCTCAGCTCCAAAAATATCAAAAATGAGTTCTGAATCAGTGACCTTAAGCAGCTTGCTTACATATTCAAAGTCAAATACAAATGACCTCAAAAGTACTCAAAATACTGAACTGTGTTTCTTTTATCACTTAGTTTTGTCAGTTACCAATTCAACTTAATGCTTCTAAACAGGAATTGCATGCCAGCAGCTATTTGGACTCAGACTTTTCAAGGTTTACAGCTGAAGTGACACATCAATACAGGAAGCATCAGAAGTGTTTTTTGGGGGGTTTTTTGGTTGTTTTTTTTTACAAGAGATTCAGAATTTTTCTGGTTTAATTGTAAGCTGGTTTACTTTTCCCACAAGATACCACAGCATAAGACATTTATTTGCACTTCAAGACTTGCAAAAATTCAGGACATTTTTACCAGTCAATAGCTTATGTCCCAAGCAACCTAGAAAAACACAACAGGCTGAAACAATGGGAGAATAGAGGAATTTCAGAGACAGTAAAAAAAAAATAAAGCAACAGTGAGATCAAATACAGGACATCCTTAATGCATTCTATAAAATCCAATTGTAACAAATCTGATCTTGTTTGTACTATTACTTTTTTGTGCATATATTAAATACTACAAAATTCACAGATTTACACAAAGAACTGAAATTTACTAGTTATATTTGAAATTATTATTTTAACTGCTCTTAGAATTACAGTGCAATTCTAATTTTCTTTGGTGGTTTATTTTTCTGTGTTCCGATACCAGTGCAACTACTGCTTGAGACAATATTTAGCCTCTTTACAATTTCATTAACATATCAAAGCACTACATCTGAGTGAGAGTCCAAATCAGTATTTATAGCCTCATTAGGAACCCTTAACATTACTCATCTACAGAAATACACTTTCAAAGGCCTACCACTGTCCAGCCTTGGTTAGTGGCCATTCACTAAAATGTCTCTCTGAGATAGACACACATGGAATTTCTCCTGAATGATCCTGGCACTGTAAAAGAGCATAGCAATGACACCATTCTGCTACTCCTAGGGGTTCAATGTTCTCCCAGAACAGGTTGTTTATCTAACAGCATAGGCAATTTGCTTGTTAATCATTAATTCAAGACTCCTATGGGATTGTATTGGTCTGTAAGTATCAGTTAGCTAGTTGAATCTGCCCTACAAGCCTGTTGAAGACTGTATTACACATAGCTTTAATATCATCCTGCAACTTCTACTTGCGATACCTGACATTCCGAACCAAGCATTTTTCTGCCTTCACTGCAGCACAAGTTGCATGCAAGAAAACAGAATCCATATTGTTATTCAGATAACTCTTCCTTGAACTTCTAAATCCAATGTCAAATCATGATGCCCTTTTGGTATTCTAGATAACCAGAGAACAAACAGTTGCTCTGCTTTACAGCTGTTGAAAGGAAAACACATCTGGCTGGAAAAGGAGAATATGCCTTAGCATGAGTGATGGGACAGTACAAAAAAAGGTGAGAATTATCATGCATCAACACTGTAATGAGGTATTATCACTTTGCTAGCTATAAGCAAGAAATCATACATGATACAGACTTTTACAGCCTCAGAAGGCAATCTGAAATTTCAGACAGGTTAAGCTGCTCTCCCAAAACTCCAGTATAGCTGATCATTCCCAAACTAATCCAATTAATTCTTCCAAAGCTGTATTTCAAGTAGACACCAAGAACACATACAAAAAAAATCTCTACTGTATATTGCAGAACTGAAGTCCAAGGAAGCTATGAACTTAAAACAATGTCCCAAACACTTCATCAACAAATCCTGAGAACGAGACGAATTGTGGAATAATTCTCATCAACCTAGGTCTAGCAGAATCTACCCCTGTCAATGTTACCAATATCCTGCAGATCATAACTGGTGATCTTGAAAGATGACAGGAGCTGTTAGTATAATGCAAAGGTAATGTAACGTACGCCCAAAAGAAAAACTGAACCTTTGATGCAAAGGTTATGTAATGTACATACAAATGACAAACTGAACCCTTTTTCATTGCATTTTCATATCAGGTACCACCACATTAATTCTTATTTTAAAGTCCTACTGACTTAAAATGACACATCTGCAATGCAACCAAACAGCTCACCCTTACAAGATCAGAGTCGTCCCTTTTGTCCGTTTTCTTCCCTGGTAAGGTCGGAGCCAGTGTGAATTCTTCATTTTCACTGTGGTCCATTTCAGTACTGTCAAGTCTAGAATGAATAAACATTTATTGTCTTAATTATTATAATACTGTGGGCAATCGTTAAAAAATATATTAAGAATATCAATCTTCATAAGAAATCTATTCCTAAACCATGAACAACCCTGCAGAAAGAACCTTTCACTCTGGCTACTACAGCTACCACATATCACAAGCCAGAACATCTAAATCTCAGGACAAAAGTAACAATCATAAGCCAAGTTGTATTTTCTTTTTTCACTAGGAAAGATAAGCAGCTTTTTGAAACAGAAGATCCTTACTGAGTTACAAGAGATCTGTGTGTTTATATACACTTCCATACACCAAAGATCCCCACAGACCAGTTAAAGCATGTGTACTTTCTTTCCTATAGTGCAATGAAACAGCAGATTTAAACTTCAGAGACCAGTTCATCCCTCAGCTTTCTGTTAGGGCAGCAATTTAATTTTTATTTCAGTTTCTACATATGTAAATGTGGACAATAATACCACCTGCATATGTAAAACACTGAGACCCACATAATATACAAAAGCCAATACACAAAAGTAATTTCATTTCATCTACGCTAGGGTAGGCAGAAGCAACACTTTTAAATAAGAGTGCACATTTTTCAGTGAAAAGCAACATGCTATGCACTGAAATGAAAAATGGTATTCAAATACACAAACTCTTAACTCCTTGGCCTGGGCACTGCATAGACAAGAGAAAGACGTTCTCACTCCTACAAGTATAAAATATTTAATAACTGTGACATAATCACAAGCTCAGTTTTTATCCATCATCTTAACAGATGCAAGCTTGCCTGTATATATTACAGTCAGATTGAACTGGAAATGCCATCATATTGAATTATTACCATCACTTCTAAAGGACTATTCTTCTTCTTTGATAATTCCACTCAAAACACTAATCAGTTTAACTTAGGTAAATCGGGGAGATCATTAAGATGACAGAACAGGTCAGTTAAATTAACTGGATATAGAACAGTATTTGTCTCATTCATTTCACTGGATATAGAGAAGAATCTGGATTACAACCTGTCTTTAATCAGTAATTTATTTCTGTGTGCGAACCTGAATGACTTGTAAGAAATAAACTTTTCTGTGGACTTTCCATGCAGCTGAGAAGTATTTCTTTTAAAACATTTCACTACTTTTAAAATTAATATTATGTATTAAATAGTCACAGAAGTACCAAATGAGATGTCTTATTTCCAAACCTAACTTTTGCTCACAGTCTTGAATTAATATGAGAAAAGATGAACAGTGAGGGCTATGCAATCTCTAAATGTCTCTGGAGGTATTTAAGAGTCATGTAGACATAGTGCTTAGGGACATGGTGTGGTTGAGGACTTGTCAGTATTAGGTTAATGATCTGACGATCTTAAATGATCTTTTCCAATCTAGGCAATTCTGTGATTCTGTGACTTTCAGTTGAAAAATTAACATAAGATACAGTAACTGATGAATAAACTAAAAAATTTACACCAAATAAGCTATAATTTTTAAAGATAGCTAACTAGAAGAAGACTTCTCTAGCATTACAGTACATTCCCCTCTCCATCACAGAAGGAATCTAAAATCCAAAAATGTTTATCTGCAAAGTCCAGTGAAATGGAGGACAAATTTATAGAGGAGGAAGTCATGCAAGATCATCACAATGGCCTACCCAACCTCGCTGTCTGACATGTTGTTTACATTACAGCAGGCCACAAGCTTCCTAGGAACTGCAGATGTATGTATGTATACATATACACATATATATACACATGGGGGGAGTGTATACATACATTTATATATATACAAATAAAATAAATTTATATATAAAATATATATAAACATATACATATACATACACACAAGTAAATGAAACATGAGGCTCTCCTCTCCTACACCCAACTCTGGATGTGAATTTATTCTTTCATTTTGTTTTGGGCTTTTTTAAGTAAACTTATTTCTGGGGTTAGAAAGCCAAATTCATGGTTTCAGTTATATCAATGTAGTACTATAACTTTACTTCAAAATAAGATAATTGATTACCATTTCTCACTTAGAAAGTACTACAGAAATATTCAAAGTTTCCGTTACAAATACTTGAAATACCAAAGCTCCTTTGTTGTCTACCAACCTCCCTTTGATCCTTCCTGGAGAGCTTGGATTGGAACTGCTGCTGGCATTGCTTACAGTTTCCATTCGTGAAGATTTGGATTGAGACTGCTTGCCTGCTGACGAAAGAGGCTTATTAACTGCTCCAAGAACATTGGCTGCTTTGGGCTGAAACCAAAAATATATTTCCTTTATTTTAAGCTACAGGTTTAGATATTGTTAAAATGTACTATGCTTAAAATATTCATAGATTTCACTTTCTGCAATCAGTATCTTAATTTTAACACAAAGCTATAAACATTTTAACATGAAAATTACAACAGACACCAGAAGGAAGCTGACAAAGCTGCCACCAAAAACGGTATTCTTCTCTGTACCCGTATATTCTGTTCTCATTGGTAGTACTGGGTGACCACCTGACCTTGCAGTAAGCCACTTCAGCACTTTTTGTGCAGTTTGCTTTCTGCTGATCCAGCTGCCTGAACCAGCCCACCATTTGGATCAGATAAGCATCTGTACTGGCAAAACAGAAAGAGCAATAGGGCAGCCCTTTCAGCAAAGAAGCCATTAAGCTGGCTTAGCTGGAATGGCAAATCACACTAGTTTCAACTGCGAATGAATGAACGAGAGCCTCAAAAATCTAACATTGTAGGAAAGATTCTGATGCTTCATGCACAGATTCAAAAACATTAGGCTTTTAATAGGTGCCAAAATTTCTAGACACCGGTGAACTTATGAAAAGGTCATTAATTTATGTGGATTATCTTTCAGACATGCCAAATAACTCCAGCTCCAGCTCATACTAACTTTTGAGGGAGATGAAAGAGTTAAGTTACTTCTAAAAAGATTACACCTTTATGCCAAAGACTCATGTACAAAAATGTTTAATCACAGACCATTCCCCACATTTCTCATTATCTAGGATGATTCATCTTCTATTTCAATATTAAGATTCTAGCTATGTCTAAAGTTAGTGACAGCTAAGGAAAAGTTCAGCACACACATCATAGCAGCTTTCAGTGTTCCTTTTGCAGAGATATGCACCATGGATGTGCTGGTTATACTTTTACAGCCAGAGGGAATTTTACACTTAAACCAAAGATTCACTCTGCACAGAGCAGAAGAAAAACAGCATATCCTTTCCAAAAATAAACCTTGGAGCACAAAATCCAGTTTAAGAATTTACACCTATTAGCTTAGAACTTAACGTTAATCAATAAGCAGATACAGAAAAAGCTCAAAAGCACAGAGATGTTCAAATTCACACTGGATTGTACTTCTGACTAAGGAGGGACTAGCAGGGCCTCCATGAAAAGCTCCTCCCTTACCACACAACCTACACTCAAAGCCTTGCTGCTCTCAGATACTGTTCCCTGTTTATATCCACCTCAGCAACATCCACTCAAACTAGTCTTCTATTTCCTAAAATAAGACTCCCTAGACCATCTCTCATTCCACATTGCTCTCGTGATGGTGAAGCAACTGAAAATTTTTGGTGGTCAAATACACCTCTGCTCCTTGTCAGAAAATTTCAGACCATCAAAAAAGCAGCTACAGTACCTGGAGCTAGAACCTTAAAATAATATAAAAGCTAACTTAGGATTCAAACTAATTTTGAATTAGGATATATGACAGATATGGAGCTACTGGCGAGAGTTCAGCAAAGGGCCACTGACATGAAGAAGGGACTGGAGCGCTTCTCATACAAGGAAAGTCTGAGAGAGCAGTAGCCTTGGACCAGATGACCTCCAGAGATCCCTTCCAACCTCAAACATTCTATGATTCTGTGGTTTTTCATGATAGCATAAACCATGTTTCTTGTTTAATATTGTTACAGTACACTTAATGTATTAAGTTAGGGACAAACCAGCAAGAATGTTTTATGTAAAAAACAGGATAAGAGAAGTTAATATTGCCTACTGATCAGAAATTGGAAGACAGCTTCTTTTCAAAAACTTCTGCATCTTCAGTAAGAAGTGAATCTCTAATCCATGGAGTTCAAATACTCAAATGTGCAATACAGTGATTATATATTCCAATCAATAAATGTTGGCTTTCAACTTCTCATCGAAAAAATGCTCCTGTATGGCTGTATTTTTCCCTAATTTGCACTCCTCCTCTATTGGTAAGTTTCTAGCTCACAGTTAATGCCTCATTAGCAAAGTTAAGGCTAATGAAGATACAGCACTTTTATTTTTTTTGCAAGGTAGCAAATGAATGTTCTCCTGTAATCTAGAACGGGACACATTAATCCAGGTGAAAACCACATTTTGTCTTTTCCTTTACTAGATATTATTCTAAAGAGTATTTGGGTTTAGTTTTAGTGAAGAAAGAACATGAGCATTCAATACAATGCATATTTAGAGAGAACAAATGAATATAACCATAGAATAGTCAGTTATCTACTGTAAAACGGTATTCAGCTTTGCAAAAGATTTAACTTAGGTGATTTTTAACATAATTTATATTAGAGTTTTCCACAGATGTCACTATTATGGCTTGTTTGTTTGGGGTTTTGGGGAGTTTTTTTTGACGCTCTCTTTTTAAATAGACAACAAGCTTTGCCTACTATTACCACAACCCAGCACAGACCTCTAACTTCCTCCCTCTCTCCCTCTGCCTCTCTCTCACCCTTTGGCTTATATGTCCTTTGGACAGAAACAACACATTTTCTTAAACTTGAAGTGTTTCACTGATTACATTTTAGTTTTCTTTAAAAAACGAAACACAACACTAAAGAGAACCCCCAAAACCTCCACTCCATACATACCTTTCCAGGAGTGAAAAACGACTTCATTTCCGGAGGAAGATAATTTTTGGTGTTACTAAAATTCTGTAAAGAAAGTGTGGGGTGGAGGGAATCAGAGCAATAATCAATGAACAAGATATATAGATTTTGGAGGTAATACTGAAAGATTTTCTCTAGGTCATTTATGCTTTCGAAATTTTAAACCTGAACAATAGGAGGAATCTGTGTGTGTACATATATATAAATATTTATGAAAACATATACATACACACATTTTCTATTACTTTATAATAGAGAGAAGTCTGAAGTTACAAGAACTATTAAAAAACCCCCCTGTATTACAACTAACAAAGATTTAAACACACATTTAAAAAAAAAAAAATTAAGCACCAAAATATACCTTGTCAGGTTGAGTAAAATATCTGGCTGGAAGTACAGGGTCTTTAGGGGATTCCAAACTGTATGTTGTACTCTTTGACATGATGATATTCATTGCTACATCACAGACTGTGTATAGCTTCTGCAAATAATAAAATTTTAAAAACCAAACAAATGACATTTTGTAAGTTCATCACAAATCTTGACAAAAGACATCTTTTGAGAACAGAACTACAAGAACTCACAGTATTAAAAAAATCATCTTAAACATTTAATATTAGCCTGCATCTTAAACAGTGAATTGCAGGGTACTAAAACATAGGAGCAAAAGACAAAAGCACTGTAGGCCCAGGAGTCACAGAGAGCTAGCTTTCAGGATTTTTCTACACTTAAGAACAGCGCATGGCATCATTTTAAAGGCAAAGCTTAAAAAAAAAAAACTCTGTGAGAAAAGCAGAAAAGTGACAAATCTGTATATTATGTGATGCAAAACTCTCAAAAACAAGATGAGGCTTCAATACATTCACTACACAATACACAGTGGAGACATCTAATGTATGTATTCTTCTTCCTATACTAAGCTTACTCTTTCACTTTAGTGGATCATTTAAACAGTAAAAGTTATAGTTTACATATATTTAAAGTTAGTGTTTAATAATATTGCTGACACAGGAACAGAAGGACTGCAAACTATTACAACTCCCTTGCAAATCTGCAAGATCTACTGAAGCGTAGGAAAATAACCATCATCTAAACTACAGTACACAAAGTATCATCTCCCACATGCAATTCTTTCCAAAGACATTTTAAAGTTGGTGTGTAAACAAGAAGTAACTCATTTCCAGAAGCAAATGCAATTTCCAATGAAAAAGTATCACCTACTTCATTCATTTTTGGATCATCTGGTCCTTGAGCATCCTTAGTCTGTTTGATATTTTCTACCATTTTTCTGATAAACGCATGACTGTTGTTTTCATTTTTAGCCATCAGTATTTCCAGTATGAACCACAGACACCTGAAAGAGAAATGCAACAGTCATCATGAATAAAAAATGCAAAAGAAATTCTTTAAAAAAGCACATTTGAGAATGTGGTTTACTCTAGGTTTTACTAATATTATGAATTTGAACCAGCCTAACTCTGTGAAACTAATTCTTTAGAAAAAATAAATGAAAGTAGGATGAGCAGAAGATGAAAGTTCCTCTAAGATATCACAGAGCACTAAAAAAAGCGTATATAATATTTCTCACAATATTTTACAGAAATAACTGCCATTGCTATGTGCACTGGACAGTGTATCAGGTTACTGCAACAAATTAAAATTTCACTTAGATAGATTGTTTTAACTCTAAAAATAACACTATTAAAAGTAGTCTTACTCTTTGATGTCCTTGAGTTGCTCAATGTCCTGGACTTTGACATAATCTGGGTCATGAGCTAGAAGATGGATAGTATAAGGAACAACATACTCTGGTAGAAGAGACAAGAGTTTCTCTGAAAAGCAGAAGAAAGATGCATCAGAAGACTACATATTAAGAAATATGCTTTTCTACCACAGAGGAAAGAGCAAAATTTAAGATCAGCACACATTAAGATAAAGTATAGGAACATATGGGTCTATCATTTCTTTACGATATTGCAAGTCATGGCTGATAGGCAGATGTTTCGTTCATGCAAAAATTAAGATTTTAAGAATCTCACTCAGGGCTGCATATTTTCTAGCTACCTTGAGAATACAGCTACAGTCACCCCCTACTCCCAATCCTTTCCTTGGTTCAAAGCCTGTATTCTGAAAGACTCTGAAAAACAGAAGCAAGGATAGATCACAAAATCCATGTTAACTGCAAGATGAGAGACCAGCACATCTGCAGGATAAGCTACTATTCTTTCTTTGGACATTGCAGTGTACAGCCTTCCTGTCAGCAGAACAGAAAGAAATGCTTTTTGCAGGGGCTTTGCAGTCAAATTGCCACAACGTTCGCCAAACACACAGCCTATCCTCTCTGTTTGAAGAACAGACAGGAGGTAACATGAAAGCTGTAACAGCAGTAGTGGACTGAGTTTGAAAGGCTCAAGAACAGAGCAGCACAACTGAACTATCACATCCAAAGCATTCAAAACTTTTTCTAGCATCCTCTGAGACATGTAAGCAGTCTGAAGCAAGGACTGCAGGAGAAAGTCTTTCCTACATCATGACGGTCAGATGGCCTATTTCCCTGGGGGATTCAAAAAATAGGGATTGTTACCAAAGACCCTCTCAAGAGTTATGATCACAAAACACAAATTCCATAAGGTAACCAAGAAACTCCTGAGCTAATCAACACTATGCAGAGTGAAATTCAGCACCTCAAAGACTGATAACAAAAATCAGACTGAAAAAGGTCATATCCCACAGGGCAAGGACAACAAAAAGACAAGCTGTACATCAAAAGTCAAAAAGCACCTTGCAGAAAACATCCACACTGCTTTGTTCAATATAATGACTGAGAGGAACTGGAGGATGCACAGCACACCTCAGTTATTAAACCTGTACCCTGTGAAACAGGCAGGACAAGAGGCAAGGAAAACATGCTCGTATTTTATGAATATTACTATGGTACAAGTATTTGATCTCAAGGGCATGTGGCAAATGCAAAGTCATAGTATTAATATGCCTATGGATAAACATTTGAATGTACATGTGAAGGGATGAGGGAAATTCCTGGCTCTGCTTCTGGGGGAAAAAAAGAAATTAAAAAAAAAAATCAAATCACATTGTTGAGCTAGGGAGTGGTCATGAAAGACATGACCCAAGTCTGGAAAATCTTCTTTCAATAAGCTTTTAACTGTCCCATATTGGGTTATGAATAAGAAGTCCAAACATCTGTAAATCGTTATATATAATAATATCTGAAAACTATTTTAAAATACATTAGAACATTGACATTTGTATCTCTAATGATGTATTCACATGAGATATGCTTGAAAATAACGTGCACATCAAATAAAATACATCATTATTGTGGATTTCACAAGACCAACTAAATAATTGCCATGCACAAGTCAAGTCTTAATCTATCCTGTTCTTAAAGGTCTGCGTAAGTAGGGATAATGCATAGCCTACATAAAATAGTTTGATTCATTCATAATAGCAAGGAAAGCATTCAAAAGACAAGCCCACAGAATATAGTGCTGCCAAGTTCCAAGCATACACTTTTAGACAGCCCTTGCAGTTGATGCAGTTAATTATCATGAGTAGTATCTCTACTACATATACTGTAAGCCATCATAAGGTTTGAAAGAAACAATAAAATCACCCAATTTCTTTCTATTTCAAGTTATATTTAAGTACTTGAAATCCAGTGTACTTTGCAAAGCAGTTTTTAACGTGTTTCAATTGACTTTTCACTATTAACTTTACAAACATCCTTCACTTCTTCAAGCACTGTCCTGCATATTATCCACCAGCTGTTTGCTCAACTAAATAAAAAAAATAAAGATGTGGCAGGGAAGAAAAAGAACATAATTATTATTTCAGGACACTAGCAAAATTGTCTTGCCTTAGACATGTCCCAGGCAAACCAATCTGCTATTATTGGCATTAATTAGCAGCTTCAATAGAGTGCTTATCAAGAACTCTTGAACGCAGTGTTTCATTAATTTCCCATCTTGTACAATTTCTAACAAAACTATACTAATAATTCCATTTGGGTCTGGAAAACAAAGTGAACCTGATCCAGACAAAACAGGAGAAGGATAAATACTGACACATATTATATTTAACCCATCATGGCAAAAAGACACATTCTGTCCTCATCTCTAATGAGGACGGACACAACTGAAAGGTGGGGAGGCTTTATAGACATGAACTACCAGCACTTGAAACTAAAATGCACCAAACCCCCTCATAATAGGCCTTTATGAGCACTTAGGAAAGAAACTCATTAAAAAAAAAAAAAAAAAATCTTTACTGTTGTAATTTTTCCACTTCCTGACTTGCAATTAAAAGCCCAGCCTTAGAAAGCAAAGATTCCTATGCAAGACACAAGCCTCTACCCAGGTGAAACTAGTTACAGACACACAATCAAAGTCAGTCTCTTCTTGAGTGGCTTCCACCTTGAATAGCATTTAGAGAATTTAAGAGGCTTGAAAGTAATTCCTGCCAGGCTATAAAAGGTCAGTCTGGAGAAAAGAGGTATTGTACTGTCTGGTACCAGTCCTTAGGGAGTTTTCCTTAGGCAACATACACAGAAGTTTACCATCTTTTCAACAAATGATGAAATCCCAAAATATCAGAAAGATATCCTCCTCATCTGTAGCTAGTTTTCAAGAAAAAATATATCAGAAAAATCACACATTTATAGATTCAGAAAGATAGCTGCATTAATCAAAGATGCAGATGCTCAGCTCTATTTTTTTGTGGAAGCTTTTCAAAGGAGGTACCATTGTCATGAGGACTCTGAGTTACTGCATCCTCCCAAAATCCTGCAATCCATATGTAATCCAGATTCCTGATTGATTACAATACGTATCAGATCAATGTCATCACTCAAGGTGTATCTTTCAGCAAGAAAAGAAAGTCAAGCACACTTCGAGGTCCTACTGGATGAAAAGAATCACACACACCTAGGCTCCTCTTCATTTCTTCCACTGATTTTTTAATATTAATTTTGCAGCATTATCTTAATACAGTGAGGAAATCAGCAATTACTTTTAATCATATGAGGATTTTTATACTTTCCTCCTAACTAAAAAGATTTTTCAGCTTTCAAGAGGAATAGTCTTAGGATGACTTAAAGGAATTTGCTCAATGGATTTTTCTTTTTTACATGTTATCGAGGAGGGAGAAAAGCACTGCTTTTTATTTTTTAAGTGTAATAAACAATACACAAAATTATTCTCTGGAGACTTATTCTCTTATCTAAGGAAACCATGCACACAAAGACTGACATGGCTAATATAAAGTCTGTGATTCATAAATGCAGAGGAAATCAGTTATCTGACAGCATCTGTGAGATCAGATTCACAAAAAAGGTCTAGTCTATCCTAAAATGAGATGAAAAAATCCCCTTCATTTTACACAGGCCTCTGTAATCTTTCACAGAAAAAAAACTTTCAAAAACTCTTATTCAAGATGCCCATAGTTCTTCATACAGTCTAGTCTTTCCTATGACCATATACCAGTGTTGTCATACTGTATGTGTGTAGCTTTGAGTAAGTCAAAAGGAAAAAGTACTGATTTTATAAAAGAAAAATAGTTAACATTAGTCCATAATAACTTGCAAAGCACTCCCACAAACAGACTGCTGCCACTGGGAAGAAAGAATTACAGAAACTCATCCTGAAGTGCCTACAAATACAGCCCTTTGCCAGCAGAAGACAAGATGAGAAGCTACTCAATATAACAGTGCAAAGACAGTCAGTTTAGTACAGCATTTATACCATTAAGGTTGCATATTATTAATTACTGAAGTAAAATCAATCATTGTCGGTTCACTTACAACATAATTAACCATGAAGTTCAAACAGTACACATAACTGCCTTGGAAAACTACTTCACTTCCAATATACTTAGACATAAGCATTTGTACAGCTTTTAACAAAACAAAGATCTCAGAAATGCCTATTAAAAAAATAAAAATAAAATCTGGACTTTATTTTCAGTTTTCATTAGATACCTCAAAGTGAAAGTTACAGCCATTCTATGTATAAAACAGAAAACCATCAATATTTTCACAGTCTACTCACATTTACACTTAACTATAGCACTTGTACCAAAAAGCGACTTCTATTCTCTTACCACTAACTGCTGCATGTTGCTTCAGATATTCCCTTCTGACATTTATGTTCTTCACAAGACACTGCCTAGCATGAGCTCTTCTCTCTTTCACTGGATCTTTTGCACAAAGTGCACAAATAGCCATATATTCTAGTGGCAGCCGTAGTCTAGAAAGGCCTTTGTGAAGTTTCTGAGCAAATATTTGTCTCACTTGGTAACATTCATCCTATTAAAAAAAAAAAGCAAAAACAAAAAAGGTAACAGTAAGCTTTTCTAAAAGTAATACCGACTGTGAAATAAAACATGGAAGTCCAGGTAAATATGCCAAAATCAATTTCAGACATTGCAGCCACAGAAACACAGCAATTGTAAGAATGTTTTTTTGATGTCAATACATAGCAATTTAATTGATCAGTTGCAGCTTCCCTTAAGATCAGGAGAAGAATTATGGTTCAGAAACTATACAGGAAGATAACACACTCAGGACCCAAGGCCTATATTAGCGTAGTATTGAGGCATGGAGTTAACTAAATTGTTTACAATAGGACCACTTACTTTGTGGAGCCAAACTTAGAGATCTGCACTGAAACAGTGTTTAGCCACCAGTAACCACCGTGTTGATTTTACCACTGTGATTTCACAAATTTTCATCAGGTCGTTAATATTAGAAACCGAAAAAAAATCATCAGAATGACCAGATAAGATAAAGGTCAGACACTGAAGAAAGTGCCAAGCATTTCCATTATACTGTGAAAACCTATGAACTATGACTGACCACAGAAGAGAATAATCCTTCTCTAATAGCTGCCTAAGAGCACAAAGTAAAATAATACAAAGGTGGCAAAAGTACTTCTACAATTTATTAAGCAACATATTTCCAGAAAAGATATGAACTGTAAAATATTCTGTATGAAAATAACCTACATGCTTTAAGACACCATTCAATATACCACAAACCATTTAGTAACATAGGCCAAGGAAGGTGAACAGAAGTAGGTGTGGAAAACAGTTACAAGAAGCAGCACAGAGAAGTGTAAGGCAAACAAGGCCACCAAAACAGCTTGGCATATTTAACCTGCCAAAAAAACGTCAAGAGGAAAGATCTGTTATCTCTGAATACAAAGAAAAAACATAAACAGGAATAAACAGCTATTTTAGTCAAATGACAGATTTTAAATCAGAAAGAATTTGAGAGGGTTTCCCACTATGGGACAACAGGAAGTACAGAGACTAAACCTAGCCACTGGTTACACCAACTCTGCTAAATTCACAAGTGGCATCGAAAGAGATCATGCACGAGATAAAACAAGCCTCTCTCTCCCCCCACCCAAGAACTAAATCCAAAAGAAATCAATCAAGCCCCATTTTCCCTTCTGTTCTTCAAGCCATAGTCTTCCTCTATGGACTGAAACCCTGAAATACCTGTGTAGCCAGTGCTGAAGCAACCCAAGACCACAAACTCAAACTCTGAGACTTACTCAAGATCTACTACATCTTTATAGCAAACCCACCCCCCAGCAGAAGGCTAAGATACAGTTTTCTTTTCCTGCTCAGTAACATCATCTGAGGCTAAATCCTTGAAAAGCTTAAGAGAGACCTATGCCTACTTGGTATATTGACAAGGAAGCACGTCCTCCTTGACTCAGAGGACAAAGGAAGGCATAGTTCATTGTTACTGATGGTGCTGTGTGGCACAAGTTAGAGGATTTTTATTTCTTTATATTTTAATATCGAGAATAACCTTAAATTCAGCTAAGTTATACTCGTTCACTGACAAGAAAGGGAACCAAACTCAACCAAGTTCTACATTTTTTAAAGCATACAAATAAAACCCATACATTAGCCCAATTTTACATATCTACTTCTCTGAATTTAATGCCAGTTCATCAGAAGTTCACCATTTAAAAGTACTTTTAAAAAAATATACATTTGCAAAGCAGCATGTACCCCTCAGACACAACTCTGATTCTTGAAAATGGACAAAGATTTGCTTAAACAATTAAAACACTCTCAGAGTTGACAAAGGAAAATTAAAAAGCTTTGGAATTTAACAAACAAAATTTACACAACCTAAAAGATTTATTTTAAATACAATTAAAATTTCATTTTCAACAGTAAAGCTTATTAGATCTTAAATCTGGTCTTAAAGCCTGTTAAACACTTAAGTACCTAGCACTATGCTCAACTATTTGCTACTCTATTTCAACATGAAGCTCTGCTGACATCAAATTTTGTTCTGCAGATCAAAGAACTTAACTGCTGGTGCGCTTACAGGTCGGGCTGAATACATGCGTAACTTAAAGTGACCAAAACTACACGCATTTAATCATCACAAAGTCTCTGTTCACCATTGCAACCTTAATAGAGCAATTAGCAACAACATTTAATTACATATTCTGTGTTCTAATCATTCCACATTACAAAATGGCAGTCTCAGAGAAAAAATAGCCAGCACAGAACCACAACAGAACCCACGCAACCATTGCAGATGTTAAAAAAATCAGCTTTTCCTTTTGTTTAATCTGCTTCCTTATCCGCCCACTTGAAAAAAAAACACAAACCCAAAACTGCTGTACATTAAATTATGTAATACTACAGTTGGCTTTGACATCACTTGAACGTCCTAATTTGTGGCCAGACTTGATAGTGTTAAGAATGAATAAACTTATGGAGTAATCAAGAAATGGATTCCAATGCTAAGCATTCCAAGCATAAACATATATGTATGTATATGTACACATGTAATTATCTCAAAAACAAATATACAGGTGATTTGCATAAGAGAGTAATACAATACCACTCATAAGTGCAAAAGTCACTGAAACCATTACAGGACCTGAACTCAATAGCCTGGCCAAGAGAAAGGAAAGTGCAGAAGACCTCAAGAAGATCTGGAGAAGTTATAAATAAGTATTCAAAATCCATTAGGAGCTGCAAAGAAAAGTAAAGACAGAATTCCTATCCCAACAGAGCTTGCAATCTAAATCCTGGGGAATAAGAAAGTCACAAAAGGCAAAGAAGTATCAATAAATGAGAAGAAAAAGTGACAAAAGTAATACTCTCGTGGAACAGATTCTTCTGGAAGCTACGTTAACATGTATGGATATTCACAGTGAGGGGATTACAGACAGCCAACATGGCTTCACAAAGGACAAACCATACCTCACTGATCTAGCAGCCTTTTACAATGGAATGACTGCATAGGTGGATAAGGGAAGAGCAACTGATGTCATCTACTTCCAAGTTCTGTAAGGCTTTTGACAGTCTGACACAACATTCTTGTGTCTAAATTGGCGAGATATGGGTTTCATAGATGGACTATTTGATGGATGAGAAATTGGCTGGATGGCTGTGTCCAAAGAACTGCGGTCAAAAGCTCAATGTCCAAATGGAGATCAGTTACAAGTGGTGCCCCTCAGGGGTCAATACTGGGACTGTTACTGTTCAGGATATTTATTAATGACACAGATAGCAGGATTGAGTATACCCCTCGGCAGGTCTGTGGTGCAGCCGCTACACTAGAGGGACAGCATACCATTCAGAGGGACCTTGACAGGCTTGAAGAGTGGGCCCATGTGAACCTCAAAGTCCAACAAGGCCAAGTGCAAGACCCTGCACCTGGGATAGGGCAGTCTCCAGTATCAATACAGAATGGGGGCCGAAGAGATTGAAAGCAGCCCTGCAGAGAAGGACTTGGGGGTACTGGTGGATGAAAAGCTGGACATGAGCTGGCTACACGCACTCACAGCCCAGAAAGCCAATTACATCCTGGGTTGCATCAAAAGAAGCGTGGCCAGCAGGTCGAGGGAGGCGATACTGCCCTTCTACTCTGCTCTCATGAAACCCCCACCTGGAGTACTGAGTTCAGCTCTGGGGTCCCCATTACAAGACAGACATGGACCAGGAGCAGGTCCAGAGAAGGGCCACAAAAAGTGGTCAGAGGGATGGAATACCCCTCTTATGAAGACAGGCTGAGAGAGTTGGGGTTGTTCAGCCTGGAGAAGAGAAGGTTCTGGGGAGACCTTATTGCAGCCTTTCAGTATATAAAGGGGGCCTATAAGAAAGATGGAGAAAGACATTTTACCAGGGCCTGTAGTGACAGGACAAGGGGCAATGGTTTTAAACTGAAAGAAGGTAGGTTTAGACTGGACATAGGAAGAAGCTTTTTTTACAAAAGCAGTAGAACACTGGCAGAGGTTGCCCAGAGAAGTTGTGGATGCCACATCATTGGAAGTGTTCCAGGTCAGGTTGGATGGGGTTTTGAGCAACCTGATCTAGTAGATGTCCCTGCCCTTCAGCCAGGGGGTTGGAATGAGATGACCTTTAGAGTTCCCTTTCAACCCAAACTATTCTATGATTCTATAGTAAGATGTGATACTAACTTGTCTATAAATGTTGATGACCCTGTTATTTTCTTCTCATTTAAATCTCATCTCTCAAAATTCCCTTTCAAAAATTAACGAGAGGTAAGCTTGAGACCCTAAGATAACAAAAAAAAAGGTGACAATGCATCTGTTATCAATACTGACAAACGGTTAAGACTGATACAGCTAGAAAAGAAGAAACAAAAAAAGTAAGTGAGAGACAGTGATGAAATGGAGGGCAAGGAGCTTGCACCTAACATACTGAGAAGAGAGACAAAACAATGAAGGCAAATTCTGATAGAGAAGAACTGCAAGGTTAACATTTGCAATAAAGAAAAATTTGCAACAGGAGGGAAATGACTGAAGAAATTAACAGATGTTCATCACAGAGATCAGAAGAAAACAGAACATGCAAATACTATATTGGCAAGGCTAGTCCAGCATGACATTATCCAGCTAGAGTACCCTTTCCGTAACAGACACAGATCTTATTTGTCACTACAGTAAGTGGCTATTTTCCTCTCTACTAATTCTGTGCCAAATTATAAATATCTTTAAAACTCAGTTTGACATAAGACTAACATTACTATTAATTTTTGGAATAGGAAGTCTGAAAAGTATCAGTCCTCACTTTGGGTGTAAAGACCTTCACATTGTTACCACTGAACTTCTGCTGCATTTTTGCTGGATTTCATCTCCTTAAGCAATTTTAAGTTTTGTTCCATTTATCTTGTTTTTCATAGCATTTGGGTACTGTGTAAGGGTTCCTTTCCACAGGAACACAGAATCTTAAAATCCACACAAACATCGTTAAAACAATATACAAGCCTAATACAGACTGTCTTACTTTGGTATAGGAATGATTTTTCTAGCCTAACTCTCCCCAACTCCAAGCAACTTAAGAACTTAAAAAGATACTCTATATGAAAATAAACAGTTTCTACACAGGAGCTATACTTTGTATATTAAATGCCAATTTCAAATCTTCTGACACTTAAAATGGGTTGCAGCTTTTAAAGCTTTAGCCAGTCACTGGAATTAAGGTCTAGAATGGAATATCATTACTACTAAAGATATCTTCTGGAAAGGATTCCTTCCAGAGAATTTCTTGATTTCTGTAAACTCAGGAAAATATCAGCAGTTACACAAGTAACACCAACATGAGTCCCCCCCATGATCACCTTTCTCTTGGGGTGGTAATCAATTTATGTAGAATTTAAGTCTACAAGACAGGAACATAGAGGATTTCTGTATCTCTACTTAGAATTTGAAAGTTATTTTCTTTCTGCTACTTTGGGCTCACAGGCAGAAATTAAAATGAAAATTCCAACATACCAAGAATCTCACTCTTTCTCTTCTAATATTTAGAGGATGCCAACTATCTTTGCAGACCTCTATGTTCCAAATATATGCCACCCAAGCACCAAGAAACCAAGGTCACTGTTATCACCACAGTCCAACGTACTTTATACCATCTCATTTCCACTTCTAATAATATCATAATGCAGCTTGGTTATTACTTTAAATCAATTCTGAATTCCTTGATTTATTAATATTCTAACACTTCACCACTTTAAGTCAGCATTCCCTCACTGGGCAGCCTAGTACTATGGATCTAATTCTCACCCAAAATCGGTTTTCAGGGTCATGCAGTGGAAAAATAAATTTATGCCAAGGTTGAACATCTTTCATAAAATCAGATTAGCAGAAGTATACACAACATACAGAGCAAACAACATACATACTCATACATTTGCTGATAACCCCCAAGTCCCACCTAATTTCCTTACATTTATGGCTAGCGCACACAGCTGGTACTGTTCTAAGGTGATGATTTCATGGTAACAAGGTTCTTGTGCCAACTTCACAATAGCATTCCCTGCAGCCAGCCTCAACCGAGACATATCAGGTTTACTGAAAAATAAGCACATGGATTATTAAAGTTAATTAATAAAAAATCATGTAATTATTTGACTTAGTTAAATCCCAAATAAGTTTGCATTACCTTAAAACAGGTACTTTAAAAAGAACGAAAAGTTTCCATGGACTTCGCCACCCCCAAGCCTCTCCCCCCCCCCAAATCAACAGCAGAAGTAACTTAAAACCAAAAGTAGTTTCCATGGCACCACATTTTACAGCCTATTACCACATACTTATTACCTTGCCTCAGCTTAGCAATGAAAATATTCCTTGAAACTTCCTAAAAGTTCCACATGGGTGTGAAACAGTTTTGCTGTGCACGGGATCAGCACAATCCAAATTGCCCCTCAGAGACCTCGTTAGACTGTCAGATACTTTTGTTCAGCATGCTGCTTTTCCTTCAGCAAGGGGTTCCTGCCAAAGAAGTAGCCCATTTCTACTTCCTAAAGTTGCCAAACTTTTTCTAGCAACAATAGTTCAAAATCTGTGTTGCAAGTCAACATGAATTAAGATTAATTACATATTATGAAGGTGACTAAGTGAATTGTAATTTTAAGACAACAGCAAAAAGGATTAATCAATGAAAAAATTTTCAACATGCTGAAAGTATTATTACTTGGCTTGCAGACTCAAATTGCACTCCCACCTAGCAAAACACTCCAATCATTTGCTAATTTTCATATCAAAAGGTGAATGGGTTTTTCTGTAACCTACAACCATATTTACAAAGGTTATCAGAATATCAAAAGAGTCTTCACATAAACTTTGCAAACTGTTATCCACTTAACGTGTGCATTAATAAACTTAGCTGGGCTTTCACCATTCTCAGAAGATTTATTTCAGGAAAGTATATTACTTCTGCCTTTCTTCAAATCAAACACAAAAGAATTAAGAAGTTTCATGCATTTCTCACTTAAAACACTAACAAATTCTGTTCAGAAGTAGTAAGTACAGCTTTTTCCTTTGATAACTTGAAGCAGGAATCAAGTTGTATTCTTATTTAGAAATAATTATTCATTTCAGCA